TTGTAGACACCTGCCATTCCCTCCCAGGTCTCTGGGTTCCTGTCTTTCTGTGTTTTCCCATGTTTGATCCATCAGGAAAGCTGCTGCTACATGCCACACTCTTCATGGCTTCACCACTGTAGTCCTAGTCCACTGGTTCCTCATGGCTTCCACTGTAGTCCTAGCTCCAGCATCTCTTGCCTGCTTGGTCCTGTGGGCTTCAAAGATCAACTCCTTCTGTCACCAGTCTCCATAGGTGGCTAGAGGGAATTTTACAAAGGGTCACATTTGCTGCTGCTTTGCCCAAAACCTGCCAGGGACTCCTTTTTTCACCCAAAACACAAGCCACAGCCCCTGCTGTGGCTCACAGACCCTGTGCCACCTATTTTGCCTTCTTGCTGCCTCTCCTCACCACCCTGAGGCTCCTTAGCTCTGAAGCCCGTGCCATGCCTGTTCTTGCCTTCACGTCTTGGCATTGGCCACCCTCTCCACCAGAGCCCCCATGACTACCTCTCTCCCCCCATGTTTTGCTCCAGTACCTGTTGCTCAGCTTGAATTCAAAGCTTACTCCTTGGGCATAGCTCCTGGCTCCTGGCTTCAGATTGGCTCAGCTCTGGCCGTTGTGGCCACTTAGGAGTGAATCAGCAGATAGAAGATCTTTTTTCCTGTCTCTCCTTATCTGTAAATCTACCTTTCTAATAAAAATAAATAAATCTTTAAAAACAAAAACAAAAAGCTTCTTCCTTGGGGGAGGCCACGGGGTACATCAGGTAAAGCCACGCTTGGGACGCCGGCATCCTGTATGCCAGTCTCTGTCTGCCTGCTTCTCATCCCGCTCCCTGCTAATATACTTGGGGAAACAGTGGAAGATGGCCCAGGTTACTTGGACTCGTGCTACCCAGGTAGGAGACCCAGATGGAGTTCCTGGCTTTTGGCTTCATCCTGGTTTAGCAATATGTGGAATGAATCAGAGAATGAAATATCTCTCCCTTTCTCCTATTCTCCTGTGACTCTGTAGCACCAGCATCCCATACCAGAACCAGTTCTTTTCCTAGCTGCTCCACTTTCAACCCAGCTCCTTGCTAATGACCCTGAGAAAGCAGCAGAGGATAGTCCAAGGGCTTGGGACCCTGCGTCCTTGTGGATGAAGCTCTTGGTTCCTGACTTTGGACTAGCAAACCTCTGGCCATTGGGGCTATTTGGGGAATGAATCAGAAGATAGAGAATTTCTCAGTCTCCTCTGTGACTCTGTCAAGTAAAATAAATAAATCTTAACAGAGGGAGAAAAATTAAGCTATATGGCCCATCCCCCTCCACTCCTGTTTCCATTTTAGCTATTAGCACTTTCCTAATACTTGAGCCCTTTTAACCTGCTCTGTCATTACTCATTTCCTAGACTTCCTGTTGTGTCTAGCTTCCTCTGCTAGCATGGAGGCCCCAGGGGGGTAGGGATTTTTATCAGTTTTGTTCACAAATGTATTCCCGGAGCCTAAAGACTGCAGGGAACATGTTCTCTGTGACTTGTCAGGCAGAGGTCTGCTCTGTGTCTCGGCGGCCAACAACCCTCATTTGTGCACCTGCCCTGAATCATGTTGGTTCTCCTGGTTTCTCTCACCCCACCCCACTCTGCCCTGAAACCTCCCACTTTCAACAGGTAGCCCTGGTTATGTCGTTGCTTCGAACAACTGCATCCTATATTGGAGTGCAACTTTGAGACCCTGCCACTTATTATTGTTATTTTGCCACACCACTTTTTCTTCTTTAAAGATTTATTTTATTTTTATTGGAAAGTCAGATATACAGAAAGAAGGAGAGATAGAGAGGAAGATCTTCCATCTGTTGATTCACTCCTCAAGTGATCACAACGACCGAGGTTGTGCCCATCCAAAGCCAGAAGCCAGGAGCTTCTTCCAGGTCTTCCACATGGGTGCAGGGACCCAAGGCCTTGGGACATCCTCTACTGCTTTCCCAGGCCACAAGCAGGGAGCTGGATAGGAAGTGGAGCTGTCACGACACAAACTGGCACTCATATGGGATCCTGGCACATGCAAGGCAAGGAATTCAGCACTAGGCTACCACCCCAGACCCTATACCTCATTTCTGATCACTAATGTGATGATGAAGAGCATCAGAAGTATATAAAAATGATAGGAAGTGATTCTGATTTCAAGGTACATTGTTTGGATGGAAACGTTAACAAAAACATCAAAATGGTAGAAATATACCTGCTTCTACTAAGTTCTTCTACTAAGTTCTTGATGGGGAAGTACTCAAGAACAATCAATTTGTTTCCTGCTACAGAAGAGGAAAAAACCCTTTGATCTTATTTAAAAAAAAAAGTCACTCCACTTGTGACCCTGCTTCTTGCTAACATGCACCCTGGGAGGTGGCGGGCCAAGGCCAAAGTACCTAAATCCCTGCCTCGCGCGTGGGAGACCTGCATGGATTCCCTGGCTCCTGGCTTCCTCTGGCTCAGTTTGCCCATTGGGGACAGTGGGGGAATAAATCAGTGGCTGGGGGGAGACCTCTCTCTCTCGCTTTCTTACTTTTGCTCTTTCATATTAATACAAGTTAACACTAAATAAAAATAGTCTCTTGAGCTAGTACTTTGTCCTGGACCTGGTGAGGTATGATCTGGCCCAGTCATTGCCTCTCGGGGAGGCCATTCCCATACACCGAGTCCCCTGTGGCTCTGCTTCTTCCCATCTCACCAAGAGAGGGTCCTAGGGAGCGGGCTGAACGGGCAGAGGGAAAAGTGATGGGGTCACCTTGATGCCCACTGGGCATCCCCCATCGGGGAGGGCTTCTACTCAAGGACGCTTGCACCTGCTGGGGAAAGGGCTAGGTGCAGGGGAGAGAGTTCAGAAGGCCTGCTGTTGGCTCCCCAAGGTGCCCTCCCACTGCTACTTGTTGTCTGGGTTATTCACATTCCGGAAGCACTGATGTGGCACTAAATATTCCTGCAGCCCCAGCTTTCCCCGCCTGGGGCTCCGCGTCTACTCTGAGCCTTCCTTCTGGAATGTTTTTGGTATGAAGCATCCCAGCAGGTGCAGCTCTGCCCCAAGCTCTGCCCCTTTGGGAGCTGAGATCACAAATATACTCTTCCCAATGGGACTCTGCCCACTCCTCCCTCCCTCAGCCTCAGGGGAGGCTGAGCCAGCCGATCACAGGAGGGCAAAACCCACAGGACCCAACCCCTCGGAATCCTCCTCCACTTTCCTGGAAGTTTGTGCCCCCCAAACTCCCACTGAGCCAGTACTGATGGAGGGAATTGGATTCTGTCCTCCCCCTCCTTCTCTAGGCCACAGGCTGTCTGCTGGGTAAAAGCCCTCCCTCTGCCTTTCCTTTCAGCTTCTGCCAGGGTCCACTCATTGCCTCTCTTCTGGCTCCCTCTTGGGACTTGTAGAGACCAGGGGAGGACATTTCAAGTAGAGGAAATGGCCCTATTCCCGGTGCCTGGAAAAGGGCTTGGCATGTAATAGATGCTCAGTCAATATTGACAGTTCCATTCCCTTTAATTCCTTTGTTCCCTTGGGCACCTGCCTTCCGAAACTGGCATCCCCCAGGTCCTGGTGTGAGGTCTGGTTTTGCCACCTGCCAAGCTGGGCAAGCTGCTCAATACTTTCTGTGTCTCTTTTGAACTAGCAGGGCTGTGATGGGCATCCAGCGAGAGGGTACTCACAGGATGCAGTGCTTGTGCAGACCCAGGGGCAAGTCCTCTCTCCCAGCTCTTTCAACACGACCTGAGCTTAGAACTGGCTTGGCTTACTGCTACGCACACTGCCTTGCCCCCCAGAGGCTGGGACCTGCTTTGTTGCACCGGATATGCAGCAACTGCCTCCATGGTCCATGCCCATGGTACGGGGAATAAATGCATGAGTACTGCCTACTATTCAACCAAACTCTGCGCCTGTGTCTGGATCAAGCCCAGAGTCCACGCAATCCCTAAAGCCCAAAACTACTCATCTCGACCCCACAGTAGCCTTAAGCTTTCCGGCTGCCAACAGTTGGCAGATGGACAGGAGTGGTGGGGAGCAAAGACTGGGCCGGCTCTGGGGACATCTGGGAGTTTGGGGGCTGAAGCATCAGAGTGAGACAGGGCTACAGCGGGAGCACGCTGACAACAGGCTGGAGCCAGTCAGCCAGGATCCCAGTCAGGTACTTTGTCCTCTTCCACAGCCCTGCAAGCCTGGGAGTTTCTCAATGGAGTTGGTGGCGTGTAGGGAATGCTCGGCAGGGGGCCGAGGGGGTGGGTCTGCAAGGAGGGGGGGTGGACATTCCAGACATTCTCCACTTCCTTTAGAAGTCTGGCAGAGGGGGGGTGGAGGCGGGGAGAGGCTGCCAGGCTCTGGAGGAAAAGATTTCTTTGGAGGGTGAGAATAAAAGCAAGGAGAGGAGGGCTAGGGCCCCAAATAGATGGGGGAGGGAGCGGGAGAAGCAGCTGAGGAGGGCGGGGCTGGACAGTTGGTGGGATCTGATTGTCCCTTTCGAGTCCTTGGCTGGGAGCACAGCTTGGCAGGACTGTCCCCACAGTATAGCACTTGCTGAGGTAGGTGTTGATAGGGATTTGGGGGTCCTGGGCAGCTCAGAGCTGGGGGCTTTTATTCTGAATAAACAAACCTCTCTATTTCCCATCAGGCAGCCTTGGGGGGGTGCATGTTGGAGAGGCCTCAAAGGCCTGCGCCCCCAGACCCCCCCAAAGAGAAAGAACAAGGCAGGCTGCTTGCCAATCACTTTTCTGGTTTTGATGGAGTTGTTCTTTTGGAAGACACTGCTTCACCCCAAGACACTGCTGAAATCCCTGGAGATGCACAGCAGCTCCCCCCCACTACCCTTCTGATCAGGGGAAATTATTGCAAAACTCTCCCTCTGGACAAAGGTCTGATGTCATTGAGGACTTTCCCCTGGGGCCACAGCAGTCACAAGATCAAAACCGGCAAGATTCGTTTTTCTTTTTTTTTTTTTTTTACAAAATAGAGCTGAGAACCTAAAAATAAATAACAAAAACATTCCCAGTTGTGAAAGCCCAGAGTTGCATCCATCCACAGTCCGGATTTCAGGAGCAGCTTAGAGGCAGAAGTCCTGAGTCTCTGAGGTCCAAGGCGGGGTAGCCTCCCCGATGAGATCAGCACAGCAGCCGAAGCCTGGCCAGGCCCTGGAGGTCTGTAGCAGCGACGCCAGGGGGTTCAGGCCAGGTTTGGAGGAGGGGGAAGGGGACAGAGGTGTGGAGGAGGCAGGCGCTGGGCTCCTCCCTTTCTGCTGGGACAAATAAGGAAGGTTACTCCAGTCCATCCCCAGGAAGCCCTAGGGAACATCAGAGGTAACATTCTAATTCTAGTGGCTGCCACTAGGGATTGGGGTGTGTGTGTGTTTCCAACTCCACGCTGGTGATGGAGCAGGGAAGAGGCTGCCCACAGTGGCCATCAAGGAAACCTTATTCACAGCAGTAACAGCTCAACCCCTCCATCCCATCTCCCAACCAGTGCACAAAACCCAGACAATTGGAAGCCAGCCACGCAGGGCCATCCCCTTCGCTCTACAGGTTTTCTTTTCAACATCTTGGGTCACAGGGTCTGAAGATGCGAAGAACCCTGCCCACGCTGTATCCACGTGCAGCTTTGCCGGGGGCTGGGACACTGTCCCCCGGGGGTGCAGCCAGGTGCATCTTAAGAGCCTGCCCATGCTGGGGCAAGGCAAACACTCTTTCCCCCTCAGCTGAGCTTGGAGCAGAGCCCCAGTGCCTGTCGGTAGGTCTGGGTCACCTCCTGGCAGCCTGTCAGGGAAAAGCAGCTGACCCCCTGGGGGTCCTGCCGCCAGCGCCTCAGGCAGCTGCCAGGGCCTCCAGTGGGGGGCTCATCCATCCCAGAGAGGTTGTCCACTGACACACAGCCCCGCAGCGGGGGCTCTGGGAGTCGCTCAGGCAGGTCCAGCTGGTCAAAGGACTCAGAGGACAGGATGCTGTCCTCGCTAGCGGCTCCCGAGGGGGGACGGCTGGCCCGGGGGGGTGGGACACACGGGGAGGCCAGATGGTCCAAGGAACCAAAAGTGGTAGGGGCTGTGCACTCCAGAGCCCCACGTGAGAACTTGCCGTTGAGTTTGAGAATGCCCTTGGGATGCGGCAGCCCCGAGGAAGTTTGAGGGGGCTTCGGCTCCAGAGGATTGTTGCTCACAAACACGTCACCTGTGTCCAAGAGCTCCCCTGAGTCGCTGGGCTCTGGGGACGAGTAGTAGCCAGATTCACGCTGCGGTGGCTTCTTGAGGATGCCTTTTTTGGGGAGCATGGGCACGGGCTGCGCAGGGTGGCCAGGAGCCAGGCTGGGCTCCTGAGGGTGGCTGGAGCCTGACAGCTTCTTCTTGAGATTGCTCTTGCCAAGTCTAGGGGAGGTGTCTCCGGCAGGGACGCCCTGGCGTGCCTGCGCCACATCGTGTTCCTTGCGGGACTTCTTGAGCGAATGTTGGCGCTCCAGGCTGGTGGGGCAGGGGCTCCCCGACGCCCCCGACCCCGGTACGTGCTGCTTGAAGAAACTGCACACCTTGGCTCCGTTCTCCAGGAGGGGGCGGGAGGAGCGCCGGAACCAGTCAGCCACTGAGGTGGCACGGGCAGAGTCGCTGCTGGGGTGTCCACCTTCGTGCACAGCATCCAGCTCCCCAACACGGGTGGTATAGCCCCAGTTGACCCACCAATGACTGGCTACGTCCTCCAGGGTGGCCCGGCGAGTGGGGTTCACCATCAGCAGCCACCGGATCAGGCCGCAGGCATCTGGAAGACAAGAGGGCCAGCGTGTCAGCTTGCAGAACTGAGAGTGGGGCTATGGGGACCGACTGGCCTCCTCCACCCAGGGCTTCCTAGTCCAGTGTTCCTGGGGTGACTTTGCCATCCTCTCTCTATCCCATGACTCCTTTGTTCTCCTCCTCTCCACAAAGGGTTCTCTCCTTCCTTTCCTTCTGCATTATACAGAAAATGAGGCAACTATAGCAAGGAGGATCTAAGCTAGACTCTAGGAAGAACTTCCCAAACACAATCAACCATGGTACAGAAGACAATGGAGGGGACCTGCTCCCCGCAGTCTCTATGGGCTACATGAGACCATTGCCCCTATACTTTCTGGTGCCACTGTTGAACTTGTACCCAGGCCTGGCTGGGATCACTCCTCACCGGAAGGCTTTGCCGGTTCCCGATAGGAGCCATTGCTGATTTGCTTCACCAGTGTCTTGTGGTCCTGCCCATCGAAGGGCATGGTGCCATGTACCAGGATGTAGAGGAGGACGCCCAGGGACCAGCTGTCCACCTGTGGGAGGGACGGAGGCTTAGTGAGGATGCTGGTGCCACACACTCAACACCACCCACATGACAGAAGGGACGCACTGGGACCTGGAGCTCAGTCATCCCTCTGGAACCTGAGACAGAGGGACCCTGAGGCTTTGGGGGAGAGGTCGTCTGTCACCTTCTATTCCCAACTAGAGTGGGGGGAGGAGCAAAGATGCAGATACGTGCTGAGAGCCACAGTTTTGGTTCTAGTTTGGCCTCCTCTGCATGTCTGAGCAAAAGCTTGCCTGGCAAGCAGCTGCCTTTGAGAGGACTGAGGTATGGGCAGAAAGTGAACAGGTCCATGTGAGGTCACAGTGGATGACTAGGGCACCTGGCATGGGCGGAGGGAGCACTGACCTCAGGGCCCGTGTAGGGCCTGCCGTTGATGATCTCAGGCGAGGCATACAGCGGGCTCCCGCAGAACGTCTGCAGGAACTTGCCTTGGTGGTAGAGGTTGGAGAGACCAAAGTCGGCGATCTGTGGGGCAGGGGCAGACATGGACATGGTCAGGCCTGAGTGGTCCTGAAGCTCTTGGCTCAGCCTTGATGGAGCTGGGCAGGGGGGACCCAGACCCCATCCATAAGGAAATAGCCCCCAGGACCCCACCCCACAGTGGGCATCACTCATATAGCCCCGGAAAGAAAGAGCCTCAAAGGGGCACCTGGACAATGGTGTGGGGACTTCTGGAGCCACGAGAGCCTGGATTCCTTTGCTTAGTTGTTGTCTATCTACCCCAGAGTGCTCCCTCTGCCTCTGCATTTCCTCCCGATCGGGCAACCTCCTCCCCTCGACCAGGATCCTTCCATTGCTGTGAATCTCCATACCCTGGGAAGTCCTAGGTTCCCGCTGCTGTCCTGAGCCCCCAAAGCCAGACTGTACACACTCACTCCCCTCCCCACGCTGCTTTCCCTCCCACTCTATCTCTCCTGTGAGACCCCATGAGATTCTGTGGGTAAGCCTGATGGCAAAGGGGAGGAAGGGGAGAGCCACATGCCAATACAGAGGCCCTCAGAAGCAAGCCTGAAAGAATCAGGCTTGAGGTGCCTTCACAGAAAGGAGCTCAGATCTTGGCCCACACCTGGCTGGGACATGGTAGAAGTAGCCTGGGGCGGTGGGGAGCGGGGGTGGTAGAGGTGAGTGGGCCGTTCAGCCCAGTCTAATTAAGCAGACACAACCAGGAGGCCAAAACAAAGACCAGAGCTGTGGATGTAGCCCAGGCAAAGACACCTGCTCACGGCTCACTCTGAGCCAGATGTAGAGGGCTTGAGGAACCCCAAAGCTGTGCTCTGGCTCCCTGAGAGGGACCCCTTCCTGTGTGTCCCGAGACAGTGGCTGAGGCTGTCTCATGACCCTACTGCTCATCACTGCCCCGCCCTACTGGAGGGCCACGGGTTCCCCAGGGTGGGGAGGTGTTTGTGAAACTTGGGCTCCCTCCTTTATAGCTTTATTGCTGCTACTCCAGCAGTGAGCAGGCAAAGGCCATAAGGAGGTACATGATGGCTACAGCGAGGAAAGTTCGAGTCCATTTGTGTTATGGGAAGTTTATGGCTCCTGCCACCCTCCTGCTGCTCAGCATCAAAGTGAGCCCCACCTGCTCCGGGAACGGGCTGGGTCAGGTCAGTGAACTCGGTACCAGGGCTCTTCAGGGCACAGGTCAAGCACCATGAAAAAAAACTATGTCCTGGATCTAGGAGGACTCTGAGGGGCACCTGAGGGCAGTCACCCCCAGATGCCTGCAGGGCTAACCTCCCTGGCCTGGGCCAGCTCCTGACATCTCCCTTTTCCCATCAACTCGAATGTCTGCTGACTGAGCTCAATCTAACTGCTGAGACAGGGGAAGGCTGCGGCACGAAGCAGGAAGCTGATGTTAGAGCACCTGTCCGCGGGGAAAGGTGCCAAAAGGTTATCCAGGTACATCGGACTGAAGAGATGTGCGTGCGTGCAGGTGTGCATGCACACGGTAGGTGGAGGTGGGGTCATCTCAAGCCATGCCCTTCTCCTGCTGGCCCCAAGGTCAGGAGCAAAAGCCATGCCCATCTCAAGCCATGCCCTTCTCCTGCTGGCCTGGGATCTAGACCTGCCAGCCTTGTGACATCAAAGCAACAAATACCTGGGAAGTCAGAAACTTTGGTTCTATCTTGTCCAGCTCGGCCACTCAAAGCCCAGGTCCCTGGGCAAGTGTTACTCCTCATCTTGTACCCTCAATTCTCCACCTGGCAAACAATCTGGGAGCAGCAGAAGATTGTGGAGGTCCCCGGTGGCACCCACAAAGCCTGATCCCCAGTTGGGAAATAGGTTAGAAAAGCCAGGGAAGCATGGGGAAGTTTCTGGAAAGGAAGCAATGAGGCTCACCTTGATGTTCCCATTGGCATCTAAGAGAATGTTCTCCAGCTTGAGATCCCGGTGGACCACCCCATTCTGGAAGAGGCAGGGAGTACAGTCAGGGGCAGATCATCTGGGAAGGGATGGGATGAGGGGTCCACACAAGGAGCTGAATGGGCCTGGGATGCCCAGGGTGCAAGAAATCCCAGGTCCTTCCTCCCACCCCAGGCTCTGCACACTGCGGCACATGGCCACGGGGGGGTCGGGTGTACCTGATGGCAGTAGTGCACGGCAGAGACGATCTGTCGGAAGAAGTGGCGGGCATCCCGCTCGCTGAGCCGCTGCCGCTCACTGATGTAATCATACAGGTCGCCCCGGCTGGCGTACTCCATGACAATCACAATCTTGCTGCTGTTCTCGAACACTGGGTAGAACAAGGCAGGGCTCATTAGGCTCTCCTGGGGCGTGCTGCACCCCACTGGACACAGACTGGACAGGCCCTCCCCACCTAGGGCTTGTCTGCAGGGCAGAGAATAAGGGAGAGCCGAGGACCTCGGGGCTTCTGGCATGGTCCAGGCCCACCCTCTCCCTAGACAGTCAGGCTATGAGGTTCTGAGTGCAACCACCCAGGGGAGAGCAAAAGGCTGGGTTCTTTGGTTCAGAATGGTAATTTTCCCTCTCTGTGACTTTGGACAAATCTCTTCCAGATGTACCATTAAGAAGGCAGCTTTGCTGGGTGGGCTTGGACAAGCGACTCAACTCCTGGGCTTCAGTGTTTTCACTGGAAACAGGGGGCAGTAATAATGGCAAGTGCACAGGGCCAGGATTACAAACAGATAAAAACTCAGTTGAGCTCTGGGGTGGGCTGAGCCTGCTGCTGTAGGAGCTGACCCATAGGCAGGTGTTTATTGTCATCATCATGGTCCTCATGCATACATTTTGCAAAATAATGCCGAGAATCACGTGTGCCTTGAAGCTCAAAAGATGTGGACTGTGAACCATACAGTGCCATGGAGTTTCCAGGCCACACGTACAGAAGCAATCATTTCACACTCGGTAATTAGCAGATGGGTTGGGTTCCTGGCAGACAGCCCACCCCCTGGCCCATCTCCACATGCAGGAGGGGCCTTCTTGCCTTTTCTGGCCTTGTCCTGGCTGTTAGTCTCCTGAAAGCCAAAGAGCAACTGATTCACCAAACTGGCCCTTCCACTGGGTGGTGTGTCAGAACTTGTGTGTCCCTGACATCGCATCTTTGTGCCAAACGGGTCCTATGAGTTTGGCTTGCTCAGCCAGCCCCAGGGCCGTGGCTGTCCAACCTTTGGGTAGGAGCTGAGAGAGAAGTCTTTCCCCTTAAAAGTAGTCTCAGCTCTCAGGCACCTGGCCACAAGGCCTGTGCTTCTCGAGTAGGTCTTGACCCATGGTGGTCCTGCTTCCTAAGGGTGCCTTGCTAAGACCCCAGCCCCGTGGTTCTGGATGTTACTGCAGGAAGTGCATGCAACCTTTGTGCCATGAAATTGGGGGTCCCAAGCCAACCAGAGTACAACAGGGAGAGCAGTTAGGTAGAGGCACCTTGCCCCAGCCTACAGACTTGTGGTCTTCAGGAGGATGGGATGCATTTGGGGGATCCCCTCCAGACACACAGTGGCTAACTCTGGGGTACAAACAAAGTTCAGAGCTCTGTTCTCAGACCTAGCCGGAATGTGGCGGAGCCTCCACAGACACACGTGCACATATACACAAACACACAACCTTGAGCCCAGTCTGGCTTCACCAAGACTTTATTATCTGCCCACTCTCCCCCGAGGAAAGTCCACAAATACAATTAGCCTTCTCAGCTACTTGTTGGACTCCTCCCAAAATGCACTCAGGCCATAGAGCCATGCCAGCGGCTCTGCCCTTAGTCCTCCTATGAACAGAATCTGGGGGTGGACACCTCTTTATTCCGCCTCTCCAGGAATAGTCAGACAGAGTGCAAAGCCACAGCCCCCTCCCTGCCCTGCTGCTTGACTTAACCCAGTGTTTCCCAGCTAACCGCTGTTAGGTAAAGGCTGGGTGCAGACAGGTACGTGTGGGTGCGCCCCCTCTCCCCCATCACCCTCTCTTACTTTGTTGTCTGGGCCACAGGGAAGAGGACAGCTGGAACAGTGAGACTGGCACTGGTATCAGAGAGGAGGGACTGAGGGAGACACACTGGGGCTGAGGGAGACATACAGGGGTAGGAGCCAGCCCCGTGGCAGGAATGACTCAGAAGGCAGGTTGGATCCTGAAGGCCTGGCCCCTGGGATGTACGAAGAGCAGCACCCACATGCCCAAGACAGATGCAGAGGCCCTGGACGGCTCAGGATCTCACTGGATCAGAGGGTTGGGGGACTAGTGTCCAGATAGGGTGCAGTCTTCTGGGTACCTCCCCACGCAGAGTGCTCCACTTGGTGATATTACGTAGTTTGACCCCTGCAACCACGCTCTGACGCAGATGGGATCCTGCCATTTTGTAAAGGAGGAAGCTGCTGGGTCACAAATGAGGAACCCGAGCCTGGACTCTAAATTCAGTAAGTGGCTCAGGTCATGCAATGGGGTTTCAATTCCAGCTTTTACCCAGCTTCAGAACCCTTGCTTTGTTTGTCTTTTGAGTAATCTGTCCTGACCCCTCCTACGCGTGTGTACACACACACACACACACACACACACACACACAGCCCCCAGCAGCAAACACCCCAATACTGTACCTTCATGGATGGCGATGATGTGGGGGTGGTTCAGGGACGACATGATCTCTATCTCCCGCCGTATATGCATCAGGTCTTGCTCGTCTTTGATTTTGTCTTTCCGGATGGACTTGATGGCCACCTGGGAACGGAGAGCATGGAGACTGAGGTGGAAGGTGGAGCATGGAGAGGTGTCCTTGAAGACACATGGAGGTCCTTGCCCTGTGGTTACTGCAGAGGCCCCAGGACACCCCAGAGAAGTCGCTTTGCCCTTTCCCAGGGTGAGTGGCCGAAGGTTGGGGAGTTTCCTCTCCAAAGAGGTTGTCAGGACCACCATACCCTTATTCAGATGGACATGGAGGGCAGCCACCTATGTTCACAAAGCTGACGCTTTCTGATTTACAAAGCCATCAGCCTCACACACTTTGGGGAGAAGGCTGGGCCTTTTTCTCACTTGTCCTTCGACTGCACATTTGGTAACTTGGTTTATCTACCCAATGGGCTATTGCCCAGTCACGAGAAGGAATGAGGCTCTGACCCAAGCTCCAAAGTGGACAAACCTTGAAAACGCTATGCATGACAGAGGATGTTCACAACAGAACAAATGCTTTTTATTATGCCACTCAGATGTGGTACCAAGAATAGGCAAATCACCCAGATGGAAAGTGGAACCAAGGTGAGCAGGTGTGTGTGTTTGTGTCTGTGGCTGGGGGACTTCCTACTGAATGGACACACAGCTGTTTGCAATGATGGAAACATGGATATGGGTATGGCCCTGGTTTACAGTATGAGAATATGCTTACGTGTGACTGAATTACACACTTAAGATGACACATTTTACTATATATATGACTACAATTTAGAAAACCACTCCAAAACTATGAAAAAAAAAAAAAAGAAGCCAACACCAGTCTTTACAGTCCACGTGAAGCACCTCTCTGCTCCAGCAAAACCCATCCCAGCCTGGCTGGCTTGGTGGGTAAAAGTGAGACATGCCAGGTGAGGGTGAAGCCCTCTGGCTGGCCCCCGCAGGGGAGTCAGGAAGGGAGGTGTCAGCGGAAGGAAATGGGGAAAGAGCCTCGCAGTTCTAGGTGTCAGCTCTGCTGCACCCCGCTCAGCAGCAGTGTCTGGGAGTGACAGGAGACAGTGACAGCAAGCAGGGCCGGGGATGTGCCATGCAGGGGGCCAGTCTATCCCCCACCCCAGTCTGAGAGCTTCAGCTTCCTTGTTCGTGGAGTAAGCAGGTGCACTAGGACGTCCGAGAGGGCGTCCCTGCTCTGAGGGCCCCCTCCCCGGCATGAGCCGGGTGGGGGCGGGGTGTCCAAGCTAGGTCAATTCCTGGCAGGTCCTGCGCAAGGGCGCAGCGGTAAACACCAGGCTTCCTCTGCGTGCGCGGGAACGGCAGGCGGAAACCCGCTCCAGCCCGGGTTTCTCAGGAGGCTGGACTCATGGGGACCCAGAAGAAAGGAAGGTCTGGCTCGGAGCAGCCTCTAATCCTCCTTTCACAGGGCTCCGGAGCAGACAATGGCTTCCGCCCGCGCATCGCACAGGAATGCGGAACAGCCCTAATCCCGACACCGGAGCAGCGCACAAAGCCCGGGGCCGTCACCTCGGCAACGCCGGGGATGGCGGGCCCCGCGCCCGGCGCCCTCCGCCCTGGAGCTGTGGCTGCCGGGAAAGAGGGAGGCCCTGCTCACTGCCCGCCTAGAGCCGGGCTGCGAGGACAATGGCCGGTGGGAGGCATGGTCACAATGGAGCCTGGCCTCCGGAGGGGCCCCAGCGGCAGCTGCAGGGAACAGAGCTGCCCCCCCTCCTTTGCTCCCAGCAGGTTTCTCTCCGCAGCAAGCTAGGCAGGGAAAAATCCCCAGGCTGGGAAAGGGGCATGGGGTGAGGTGTGGAGGGTAAAGGGCTTTTTGGATGCTGTTTCTTCATGTGCTGCCAACTATCACTCCCACGGCCCTTTCCTTACCACTTTCTCTCGTTAAAGGATATGTTTACGGAACTAGTTTCTCTCCCTCTAAAAATCTTTGTTTCTGAAACCAGATAATGTGTAAGGCATTAGAAGCTATTTGGAGACAAAGGGCCATGAAATGGATACGGATGGGTAGCCACTCATTCATAAACACAAATTCCATCTGGACAATCACAAATATTTTAGGGGATGGGCACTGTGATGCAGCACACTCCGGGAGGCAGCAGATAATGATGTCTCAAGCACTCCGGTCCCAGGTCCCATCCACTCCCATCCGCTCCCATCCGCTCCGTGGTCTGTGACGCCCATGTGGGAGGTCTGGATGGAGCTCCTGGCTCCTGGCTTTGGGCCTGGCCCAGCTCCAGCTGTTATAATCATTTAGGAAGGGAGCCAGCAGATGGAAAACCTCTCTCTCCTTGTCACTTTCTCACCTTTCTTTCTGTCACTCTGCCTTTCAACTAAATAACTTATGATGTGCCCATATGCAAAACTAGGCACATAGTATTCTTGCATACACACGAACACATAATGGGAGACAGGGCTCTGAAGACAAGGCCTTAAAGAGATGGATCTCCAGAAAGGAAGGGGCTCCTGGGGTGACAGAAGGAGACTGCCTGGGTAGGGGTGCACATGTAGAACTCTCAGATCCACCTCTTCCGAGACAGAAGCCTGTGGCTCTAATTCAGAATTGCTAACCTGTGAGCACTTCACCCACCTACAAGCTTGTATTGTGACCTCAGGGACAGGCGAGGGACCGCCCCTGCCTCCGTCCTAATAGGTCCATTTGGTCCCAGGAGGCCACAGCACAGCTGGCACCTCCCAGGAGGGGAAACAGGTTATGTCATCGGGCCTCCAGCAGTCCCGGCAGAGCCAATGACAGACAGACACAAAGAGGGATGGGCTGTTGGGCTGCTGGAGGTGCGCTTCTGCTCTCTGACCCATCCTAGCCCCACGGGCAGGCCTCTTGCTGGCTACCGGCTCAGCCTGTCAAGCTAAATTAGATACACTACTGGCTCAGGTCTGGACAGAACTCGGCATACAGAAAGTGCTCAGACAACTGACCAGTGGCCAGAGGTCACAAACAAATATTTGTTGGTTGAGTAACTGGGCTGAACTTTGATTGACAGCAATGGAGCCCAGATACAATTTTCCTCCCCTTCTTCCCGGCCCTGGGTGGAACTGACCTTTGAGGACCTTTGTTCTCATCTGCAAGGTAGCCAGGAATAAAAACAATCCGAAGAAAGCCAAGGAGGGGGGCAAGAGCGGCTGCATGGGTTACCCAAAGTAGAAGGGCTACGTGCCAGGTCTGTCTTCATATACTTATTAATATCACCCTTTCTCCTCACTCAAGTATCCTAGTGTATACAATGAATGATGTGGTCACCTGAATAGACTGGAAAGGAAAATGAGGCCCATAGACACTTGACTAATGGCATGGGCCTCGGGAGCCCATGAATTCTGATTTGCCCCAAATTATGCAACTTAAGATAAGTCCCTTAACCCATCTGGCTACTAGAACTGGCTGGTTTTAATCCTCATCTGACAAGTAAAAGGATCTTCTTAACAATCCAAACACCTGCTGATGTCTACTGTGGGCTTGGCACCATGCCCAGGGCTGGGGAGTCAGTCCCCGCAATCCAAGCCCTCAGTCCTGTGGCCTGGGCTGACAGTGAAGCCACGCCCAGTCCAACGTGAGCCACGTGGCAGGTAGGATCCTTATTGCTGAGGGCCCCCAGAGGCTCTGACCAGAGCTTTCTTCTGCTTGGAGGGGCTGGGAAGATCAGCTCTATGAGAAAATTGTGTCAGACTTCAGTGGAGTAGTGAAGCTTGCTAAGTTAAGGAAGGGGGCTCTGCAGGGTCTACAAGGGTGTTCCAGGCAGGAAGAAAGGTTGCAGTTAAGAAAGGATTTCCAAGCTCCCTCAGAACTCCAGTGACTTTATTCAGCATCTTCAGAAACGCACCACCTGGGAGCGGGCCTTGTGGCACAGCAGGTGTACAATTGCGACGCGAGCATCCCATGGCAGGGATGGAGTCACAAGCTGGAGTCCCAGCTTGCTGCACTTTCAATCCAGTCCCCTGCCAATGATCCTGGGAAGTGGGAGATGGTCTACATGCTTGGGCTGCTATCATCTATGTGGGAGACCTGGATGGAGTTCCAGGCTCCTGGCTTCAGCCTGGCCCAGCCCTGGCTGTTACAGTGATCATTTGGGGAGTGGATAAGCAGATGGGAGATGATGATGATCCAGGTACCAGGAGAGAGGGTGCAAGCTGGTCATGGCTGGTCATAGCTGTTGCCTGGAGCTGAAGTCAACAATTTTGACTCCTCTCTGGCTTTTCACAGAGCAGCTGCTGTCTGGGAAGTGGGGCAAGGAACTGGAGGATGACCCACTTAGATAGTGGAGGAGAGGCTGGGCCAGGTTGGCCTAGGCTGGGCAAAATGGAGATGGGCCTGGGGGTGGCTCATCACTCCGTCAGATCTGCCAGAGAACAGAACAAGAGAAGCACCCGAGCCTTGTTCTCCAAGCCCCATAGGGTACCGTCCCCACCCCTACCCTCCAGCCCACTCTGCCAGTTCGCCAGGCGAGAGCTTCCTGCCCAGCCCTCTTGTGTGGTTTGGCTGGAGCCCAAGGACAAGACTTGCCTGCAGCCTCCCTCCTTGGTGCTGAGCAGGCAGGTGCAGGAGGAGCCGGGAGGGCAGGGTCCTGCCCAGCAAGTTGTTGGGCAGCTGGTCGGGCGGGAGCCCTTCTTTGGAACTGGAGGAGCCTGAGCAATGCAAAGGCCGGAGCAATTTGGCTTTAGGGAGCTGAACACCAACCACTCGCATTCTTTGGGCAAGACAGTCCCAGGTGGCAGGTACTAGGGAAGGAGGGGTCCCAGGAAAGGGAAGGGAGAGCTGAGGCAGGAACACTCAGTTATTAAAAATTAAAGGTGTTGGATTACCTTTAATCCCGGGGAAAAGCCCAGCAAGTAGGAATCACTATCATGCCCATTTTTCAGATGAGGAGAGTGAGGCAGAGAGGCCATAGGGCTGAGAAGCACCAGGGTTGCCAAATGAACCCTGAGCTTCCTAGATAGCTGGGATTGAAAAACCACTTGGGGGCCTGGTGCAGTGGCCTAGCGGCTAAAGTCCTTGCCTTGAACGCACCAAGATCCCATTTGGGCACCGGTTCTAATCCCGGCAGCTCCACTTCCTATCCAGCTCCCTGCTTGTGGCGTGGGAAGACAGTCGAGGATGGCCCAAAGCCTTGGGACCCTGCACCCGCGTGGGAGACCTAGAAGGAAATTCCAGGCTCCTGGCTTCGAATTGGCGCAGCATTGGCCGTTGCGGTCACTTGGGGAGTGAACCATCGGACGGAAGATCTTGCTCTCTGTCTCTCCTCCTCCCTGTATATCTGATTTTGTAATAAAAAATAAATAAATCTTTAAAAAAAAAAAGCCACTTGGATTGTGTAATTCCACTACCCAGGATCCCTCGCTGCAGCCAATGTGTGTGTGGAGGGCAGAGGGAGGTTCCCTGTGCCTCTTCCCACCCCACAGCATTGCCTGCAGCCCTGGGAAAGGCAATAGAATGACAGCGCACACTGAGACAAGCCCAGGCTCATCTCAAGCATAACCAATCCCCAGGCCAAGACTCAGCACTCAGTCACCCAGGGCCCGGATGGATGAGGCAGGCATGCCGCTAACTAGACATTGGACAAGCAAGGCACTGCCCCTCTCCCAGCCTCAGTTTCCCCACCCATCAGATTGTCTCAGTCATGTTCCAGCCCTTGGAGACAGATTGGTCAATTCCCCAGGCAACAGGTAAACATGCCCTTATAGTACTTCTGGGTGGTGAAACGTCCACGCAGCTTGTCCCAAAGGACGTTCCTGAGGGCTGGCCTCTGTCGTTCTGTGGCCCGGGCACGTGTTTTTTTTTGTCTTTAGGGGGAGGTGAACTGAGAGAACCACAGGAGGAAATGTCATTTGGATGCCAGGACTATATCCAATATCCAGACCAAATATTTGTGTTTCCTTTGATGCCCTTCTGGAGCAGCCATTAGGCCTGTCCAGCTGCTCTTCCCTCCCTCTGGACACTCCCATCTGGGGCCTGGTAACCCCATCAAGGCACGGTGAGAGTGGCAGATGTGCTGGAAAGCGAGAGGGACCCCCTGGGCTAGGGCATCATGTAGGCTGTGCTAGGTAGAGCCCCCACACATTTGGAAGGACATCTCTTAGGGGGTGGCTGCCGTATCCCCCTTTCCCCCTCCCCCAGCAAAGTATCCTGAGGCCCCAGGAGTGTCAGCTCAGGGAGGACAGTCAGGACCAGGAGGAGCAGCTGGGGAGGGGGAGCCATTGTACAGCAGGAGAAGAGGGAGATCCTGTGTGAGTGAGTTCCCAGTGGCAGTACTGGGTAGCTTGCGTGGCAGGAAGGTGCAGGGGGAAGTCTCAAGGCCACCAGATCTTGGCTCCCTACACACAGCAGGAGGCAGGAGACCAGGAGCTTCTTCTGCATTCTCTGGTCTGATGTAATAAGAGCAGGAATCTCGCCTGAGCTACTGAGGTGTGACAATGGAAAGTTGGTCTCTTTCACTCTAAAATCAAAAATGAACTCCTCTCTTGGTATCACACACAAAGGGGCACGTGTGCATACCCGGGCATGTGCACATACACACACACACACACACACACACACACACACACGCACGAGTCATGGGAGGGGAGGGACTTATCAATGTGGACCTCAGTTTTTTAGTTTCTGGGCCCCTCAGTGCCCTGCACCTGGTCTCACCCCAGGACCCAACAAGGAACATCAGACACTCTTTGCCAGCTAAGCTTCTGGAAAAACCTGGGCCTAGCAGTTTGGGCAGGGCAGCCTCTCTGGGCCCTCACATGTTACAGAAAGAGAAAGAGAAGGAGAACCAGGAAGTAGGGGATTGCCCAAGAGCTGTAACCTGGCAGCAGGCAGCTGGGGACCGTGCCAGGCGTTAACAGGGAAAACAGACTCGGCCCTATTGATCCAGAATCCACCCCTTGCTCCAACATTACCTCCCTTCACCAATGAAACGACTTCTTGAGTTTCAAACTGGCTACTGGCTGCGAGAGCAAACACAAGCTGGGCAGGCGGCCGCTGCCTTGGCCAATGCAGCCCACACACACACACACACACACACACACACACACACACACACACACACACACGTTTGGGCCCTAAAGCACCTGCTCCACAAGATTTGCTAAAATACAAGCGATCCTGCCCCATCTGCACCTTAGAAGAAATTCCACTGAGTGTGGGGAGGAGTATTTTAAATGCAGATCCCAGGTGACCCCAAGTACCAGACACTAGTTGGAGGGTGCCTGGTTCCCACGGCTAGCAAGTGTTTGGGAGATCTGCCTCCTTCGCAGGGCCAGCCTTTTGAGACTTACATGCAAATTCTCTGAGTAAGTTCTATAGCTCAGTGAGCTTGGGGTTGCATTCCTAACTTAGCTTTCCTAGCAGCCTGAAAGGAAGGCTGTGTATGCTGCTTTTGACACACACCAAAGCAACAGATGCTTTCTGAAAAGGTCCTTCCAAACACACATGTTTTCCTATTTTTCCCAGGATCAAAAATCCAACCTAAAGAACTTGCCACTCAACCCCAGGGCCGCCCTGCGCGTACCCCCACCCTCCAGTGGCTGCGGGATTGCGGGGACGAGGAATTGAAGAGAGCCAAGCCTCATTCATTCAGCCTCTCTCTCACACACACACTTTCTAAGCACCGGCTAAGAGCAGGCGCCTCCTCCTTCTTCTACTCCACCCTGTGGCTAGGTCCGCTCCAAGCCAAATCCAGCCCTCACTCCCATCCATCTTCCTTGAGGACCACGCGGTCTGGGATTTTGGAGTTTCCTATTCACCCTGAGCTCTGTCCCCACCTACGATCGTGGGACACACAAAAGCGCACCATCTCCGCGGGACGAACTCGCATGCCTCCCACCCGCCTCCCGACCCCCCGGCCCGCGCGCCCGCCAGCCTGCGCGCCGTGAGAGGAAGCCGCACTCACCAGCCGCCCCGAGCTCTCCCGCGCCTTCTTCACCTTCCCGTAGGTGCCCTTGCCCAGGGTCTCCAGGAACTCGTAGCGGTGCCGCAGGTTGTGCTTGTGGTGGTGCCGTTTCACCGCCTGCTTCTTCATCAGGGGTTTGGGCGACTTGATGAGCCCGTCGGCCAGGGGCCGGGCGAGCTCCGCGGCCGAGGAGCCCGAGCCGAGCCTCCGGGTGAAGGCCAGCGACTCCATGGCGAGCAGGAGGCGAGCGAGGGCAGAGAAGGGCTCAGGCGGCTGTGTCGGGAAAGGTAGAGCCGGCAGCGCGTGTCCTGCAACCGGATCTCCAAGCCCACTAGCTGCCCCCGAGTGCGCTGTAAAGCGCCGCATTCCAAGTTGTTATAAACTCTGCAAGCCTGGAGCTCTGGCCACTCCCAGCAGCGCGCACTGGCCGGTCCGCCGGCGGCGCGTGACTAGGGCCGCCCTCATTGGTTTTGCCGGGCCCCGGCCCCTCCTCCTCCTCTCGGCTTGTCTGGTCGAAAGTGTCAATGCGGACCTGGAGTCCCGTCCACCTGCCCCCCACCCCCGCGCGGGACAGAAGCGGGGACCAGAGGACCCCAGTGGTCTGTATCACTGAGGGTTCTTGGAACGGCGCTTGTCTCTGATTGGTCCAGCGAGAGCCACCTGTTGTTCCATTGTGCTGTGATGTCGGTTGGCAAGGGGCAATGAAGTGTGTCTCCATCCGGAATCTGTTCCTCCCAGGTCGCCTGACCACTTTTGCGAGTCCAAGACGGAGGAAGGGGTAGGGTGGGCTTGGTTGACTGGGACCAGTAGAATGGACTCCGATTTCAGCCAAAGGGGCATGCGATGGATGGAGAGCTGTCTGAGGGTCGGGGCCCACTCAGACCAGACTGGGTTGAATCCCGTTACCTGGTAGTCGCTTCAAGTTCTCACCCCTTTATCCCGGCGTTGAGTGGCGCCCTCCAGAGGCGGCCGAATTTATAAGTGTTTGACAGTATATGACAACAGTGTTATTTAACAGGCCTCTAAATCTATGAATCTCTAATCCCCCAAAGTCTTCATCTCTGTTATTTTGGAGAGCTGATTATAAGTTTGGGCTGTTTTTTGTCTTTGTTTTATTTTTAAATTTAATTAATTTGTTTGAGAGACATAAAGAGATTCCCTGTCTGCTGGCTCACTCTCCAAATACCCTTAGTGGCTAAGATTTTGCTGAGCCAAAGTCAGGTCTCCTATTTGGGTGACAGAGGACTCAAGGACTTTGGCCATGGTCTGCTGCCTCCTCGACTGTGATCAGCAGGAAACTGGATCAGAAGTAGAGCAGCCAGGCCTTGTGGTCTGGGATGCAGGCCACATCCCATATCAGATGGTGACTTAACCCTTTGCACCATAAAACCTTCTCCTTAAGAAGCATCTTAATGGCCATGCCAAATGTTCAAAATCCCTCTCTTGGTGTTCATTTGAAGCATGTCTTGAGGGTTTCCTCCTCTCTCTAAAAGGGGAAGAAGGGGCATTTCCCATTCAGCCTTCATAATAATCTCATCACACCCAAGGTCGCACAGCTGGTGAGAAACAGGTTCGGAGCAGGTGCTGTGGTGTATCAGGCCAAGCTTCCATCTGGGATGCCAGCATCCCATGTGGGACTGTCCACTCCAGTCCAACTCACTGTTAATGCACCCAGGAAGGCTGTAGAAGATGGGCCAGGTGCTTGTGACCCGGACATCCACATGGGAGACCCAGGTGGAGTTCCTGGGGCCCAGCCCTGACTGCTGTGGCCACCTGGAGAGTAACCCCGTGGATGGAGGATGTCCTTCTAAAGCTCTTTTCTCGCTCTGTCACTCTGCCTTTCAAGTCAATAGATTAAAAAAAAAAAATCAGGAAGTCAAATCTACAGAGAGAAGAAGAGACAGAAAGATCTTCCCTCTGCTGATTCGCTCTGCAAATGGCCGCCATGGCCAGAGCTGGGCCTATCCAGAGCCAGGAACCAGGAGTTTTTTATGGTTTTCCCACAGGGGTGCAGGGTTCCAAGGCTTTTGGCTGTCCTCTGCTGCTTTCCTAGGCCACAAATAGGGAGCTGGAAGGGAAATAGAGCTGCTGGGACATTAACCACCACCAATAGGGGATCCTGGAGCTTGCAGGAGGAGAATTAGCCAATTGAATCTTCACGCTAAACCCAATAAATAAATCTTTTAAAAAGGGGACTGGCAAAAGAGCCTAGTGGCTAAGGTCCTCTCCTTGCATGCACTGGGATCCCATATGGGATCTAATCCTGGCTGTTCCACTTTCCATCCGGCTCCCTGCTTGTGGCCTAGGAAAGCTTTGGGACCTTGTACCTGCATGGGAGGCCTGGATGAAGCTCCTGGCTCCTGGTTTCAGATAGGTTCAGCACCAGCTGTTGTGGCCACTTGGGGAGTAAGCCAAGGGACAGAAAATCTTTCTCTCTGTAAATCTGACTTCTGTGTAAAAATAATATAAACCTAAAGAAAAAAAAAAAAGGAAGAGCAGATCCGGACTCAGACCTAGTGTCCCTGGATTGGAAGTGGAGCCCTGTGAAGAGAAGCATGGAGGAGACTAAGCCTTTACCCTCTTCCCTGGGGGAAAGCCCAGCCCACGCACAGCTAGGGCAGTGGCTGTGCTGGGCAGGTGGCCTTTGCCCCACACCCTGGGGGCTGCGTCTTCAGGGCCTCCTGAACAGCAAGGAGGAAGAGACGGCATGCTCTGCATTCTATGTTTCCCACCTGCCCACTTTCCTATTCATCATCCAGTGTGAGTTGTGGGTGTCCTTACCCCTCCACGCCCCACCCTGCCATGGAGCCCTCATCTTCTTTGTGCTCAACAAGGGACCTCCTCATATAGGAAGTTTCCTCTCCCTTCCCCTAGTTTGGAAAGCCAGAGGAGGCCAGAGCTGGTTGGACCTTCTTTCCTCTGCCAGCATCTCTCACTCCTAACACATAGGTGAAGTTGTTTGGGGTTATCTGTGAAGACGGATGAAGCCTAGCACACTATCCCCCGACCTGCTGTTGGGGTCTTTGTCCATGTCGGGGGGACAGATTTTCTGAAAAGAAAGCTTGGGTAATTTGCCATCTGCTGGATCAGCAGCCCCAGATAGCCACAATGACCAGGGCTGGGCCAGACTAAAGCTAGACCAGGTCAAAGCCAGCAGCCAGGAGCTGCTTCTGGGTCTCCCATTTGGGTGGCAAGGGCCCAAGCACTCAGCCATCTTCTGCCACTTTCCAAAGAATGTTAATTAGCAGGGAGCTGGATCAGAAGTGGGGCATTTGGGACAGGGCAGCACACATACTGGTAGAAGTTTTACTCACTAAACCACAGCGCTGGTCCCCAGCATGAATAATTTATTTATTTTGGGTTTTTTTGAAGACTTATTTATTTTTATTGGCAAGGCAGATTTTTATATAGAGAAGGGATACAGAAATGTTTTCTTGAGACCCATTCTATCCACTGGTTTATTCCCCAAGTTGTTGCAATGGCCAGAGCCGAGCTGATCTGAGGCCAGGACCTAGGAGCCAGGAGCTTCTTCTAGGTCTCCCACACAGGTGCAGGGTCTCAAGGCTTTGGGCCATCCTTGACTGCTTTCCCAGGCCACAAGCAGGGAGCTGGATGGGAAGTGGGGCTGCCAGGACACATAGCAGCACCTATGTGGGATCCCAGCACTTGGGGTGGAGCATTTGCCAATCGAGCCATTGTGCCAAGCCCCAGCATGGATAATTTACAAGCAAACACGAAGCTCAACTTTCAGTCCTCATCTGTGGCCTTTTGCTAGTCACTCCGTTCGTTCTACAAATGCTGGTGAGCATAGTAGGTCCTGGGGCCAGGGACACGATGGCAATAAGAAGGGCATGTTTTTTGCCCTCACAAAAGTCCCAGTCTTGCAAGAAAGAAGCAAGCTGGCCTCCAGAGGGGAGGAAGACCCCGCCCTGGGATGTGTAAGAGGAGGAAGCTCCGGCCCAGATGAGTCAGGTGCTCAGGAGGGCCTCCTGCAGGTGGGGCTTTTAAAGCAGAGATGGGGGCAATTCAGCAGCAGAGGAGGCATCTCCTCACCAGGAAGGCAAAGCACAAATGGAAGACACCAAAATTCCTGCTCCAGCTCCACCTAGACTTTTCATGAGGATCCCCAGTACCTAGTGTGCTTCGGGTACCTACAAGCTGCTCAGATGTTTGTTAGACTGATGCTCTTCAGAATCAAAAGACAACCTGTAGCTGCGCCCCTTTATGACCAGCCACACCGAGGGCAGATGTAGTTGGGGGCTCCAATGCCTGCCACCTCTTGAACCACCCCAACCCCCTTTTCTGTATCCATTATGGCTTCTGCCTGAATCCCCTTCTGGGGGTTGGCAAGCCATGAATGACCCCAGAGTAGAGAGGTCTCGCCTGTCCCAGCCCCACGGTGCACCCTGGAGACCCTCGGGGTTGGAGGACAAGGCTGTAATGACTTGGCGTGGCTGTTGTCGGTTCATACAGGCAGTGAGTTGGACAGACAGGCAGGCCAGGAGCCGGAACAGCACGAGACACAGAACTGATCCTATCTGCTGAAACTCGACTCTCAAATTCCTCATGGGGGTGGTCTGGTCTGGGGTGGAGTGAATGTGTCTACTGGGGTGGGGGACTGGGTCTCAGGAAATGCCTGGCTCTTGTACTGACAGATGCTATAGATGTGCTGGGACGCGTGGGCTGAGAGAACTACTACATCCGGCCTGCGCCACCCGCCAGGGCCTGGGGTGGGGGAAGCCTCTCCCCACCCCCAGGCTCAATTGCTCACTGACTTCCGAATAGCTCTGTTCACAGAGCCTCTGTGGGCTGTGCTGGGAGAGCCATCGACACTATAGCTGTCCCTGCCCTTACACTGTGTGTGCATGTGCGTGTGTGCGTGTGTGTGTGTATTGGGTTGGGGGGAGCCCCTTAGAGTGAGGAGGTGCAGGGACCAGGCAGGTGAGGGGCAGCAAGGCCATTCATTGGGAATGGACTGAGGGTGGGACAGGTGGCAGGTGGCAGATAAAGTCTCAGAAGATGAGTCTTGAGGCAATGACTAAGAATTCATCCCTTTCCCTCAGGAAACTCACAGTCCAGTAAAGGAAATTAGACCAATAGGCCATGTAGTAGATAAGGGTGAGGCACCAAGTGGGAGTGGGCAGTGCCCCTGGGACTGAACGGGCGGGTCCTAGCTCAGAAGTCCCAGGGAGACCCCCAGTTGGGCTTGGAAGACTGGGTGAGATTTGGATGAGATGAGGAGGTAGAGTGAGGGCAGGAGAAGCTGACAGAATGGGGTTGGGCAGCTGGGGTGGTAGAGGGAGTCTAAGGGGTCTCCAGGGCAACTCCCTGCCCACAACTGTCAGTATAGAAACCTGGGACTT